TGTTCGCTACTAACAAGAGGGGTAATTGCAATACTAACAAATTACATGGATGCTAGATCAAATTAAAAAATCACGGTATAATTATAACAAATCCATAATCCAAAGTTTATAGATATAATTGTATCAAACAAATAGTTTGTGCAATTTTTGTATATAAGAATTAAAGAAGTATCTCCGACAAAGTAGAATCAAAATCAAAACTGAAAGGAGGTCGGTGACTTTTGTCTTGTACGGGGTTTAGATTCTAGCTCATCCCAATCCCATGCACTTAGAATAAAGAATAACCTAAAGTTAAAGGGCATATTTCTGATCAAATATTCTTAATCAAACAGGGTCCAAGCCATTCCTGAAAAGAAGTAAAATGAAGTGGATAAATATCCCTTGAAGGAAAGGCAAGAAATTCTTCAGAGAAAGAGAGAGGATTCCGCTAGGATTTCATGTAGCAAATTCCCCTTTTTGATCAAATGTTCGTGTGGACCAGCAAATATGGGTTGGTCCAAACAGGGCCCCTTCCCTTATATGCCTTTTTGTTTCTTTTGTGTGTCTGGAAGTGCAAGAGCCACTCCTGCTTATCCAGGCTGCTACCTAAACTCGGTGAGGCTAATCCTCTCTCTTTTGGGTTGACGATCAGATAAGGTCATTCACTCGGTGGGCCTTCAACCACTTTTCCCCTTCTTTAATATGGGCACGCCTCTGTTCATCAGGGATGAGTGTCATTGTATAAACAAAAAAAATCACCTTTCTTCTAGCCCATGAAAATGTCTAAGAATGTGTTGAAATAGTAAATGCATAACTACACCTAGACTTAATCCATGATACCAGGAAGCCTTGTATTCAAACTCATAGCATCATTTCATTTGTACCAAACTTCAAAGCCATGAGTGAGGATATAAATAATCAACCCTTGAAAAAAGAGGTCATTCCCTTTTTGTAAATCAGATGGTCAATTCACTCAAGGATCTTGCATTATGATTTGGGTTGGTGTCGATAAATTGCCATCTTAGGTACACCTCAAGTAAACTTACAAGACAGTCGTAACAGTACTACTATGTTCAGCTACTAAGGTGACTTGTAAGATGTTAAACTCTAGATACGTAACCTATAGTTTGTACCAATTCCCTCGGATTCTTTTATTATTTACATGCCCCTTATTGACCATGGCATCAACCCATAGGGGTCAATTTATCCTCTTCATCTTAGAATGCATTAACCACGCATCTGGCATTCATAAGAAAATTTGGCATTAGGGACTGAAATTTACTTAGCACTGAATATGCTAGCGGCTAAAACCATGATGTCCTTATGAAAAAGATTTCATCATGTAAGGACCTATTGAAGAAGGCAACATAACATTTATTTACACGTGATTTGTAAACTGGAGAAGACAAATGCATTCCATCAAGTCGTTTTAGGCCAACAGCATAGGACAAATCAGCACCTAAATTGTATATTGGTCCAATTCAAAAAAATTTGAAGGGATTTTACCATGCATGAAACCTACACAGATTCATATACGGCTACTATCGCCAAAGAGAATAAAAATTTTGGGCTGAAGGACTACCAACTCGTATGAGCAATGAAAGTCAAATACAATACAAGGTAACATTTTAAAGTAAAAGACCAATATCTCAAGAGACCACAAAGCGTAGCACCACAATGTTTCCATCTAAAACCAACCTCAATATTGAGAATTATCAAAAACCCATGGTTGGTGCAAGAAAAGCTCTCGCCCATTCATTTGCACTGCTCCTGAGGCTATATCATCCGCACGCTTCCTTGCTGTTTCATCTCTCTTTGCAGATGCCTCAGCATCCTGCAAATAAGAGAAGATGGTTGGAGATAGATGTCAAACATCAACAACTCATTTGCTTCAGACTTCAGTGACACACAAATCGCCTTATAAAAGACTGGTGGAATGGTTTAGTTTCCTTTCAGGTCAGTTGACTCGAACAAAATCGAACCTGCATTTCGTGTCACTGTCGATTGTTGAAACACGTGATTTAGAACATTAATAACCTCCAAATCTAAAGATAGCCGCTTAAATATTGCAAGTATTTTCTAGCAGAATTTCAATAATCCCCTTCCTTAACAATTTCATTCAAATTTCCACGGGAAATGGGACTCATGTTCATTTCTCGTAGGACTTCAGGATCGGAAATAGTTCTTTCCAAATTGTTCTACCCCATTTTATTTTCCCTTCAAAATGAGGTGCTTGTCCATTCTATTTTAATCCTTATAGTCACAGTTCTTCTACTCTCCATAAAGATTATGATTTTTCATTTTAGAAGACCCCTTAATGATCATGAATCTCAAGATTTGGCTTATCTCCTTTTTGTTGCTACTAGGAGTTTGCCTATCCCCAACTTTAAACGATCGTCATAAATGGACTCTTGAGCCTTCAGGAATGTTCTCAATGAAGTTTCTTCTTTCCTGTTTACTGTCTGAACCCAATCCTCCAGTCCCCTCATTCCTCTCCATAATCTGTAAGAATCTATAGAAGATTAGGTTCTTTGCTTGATTGGCTTATTTGGGAAGGTTAAATACCGTGGCTTCATTCAATGATCTTCATTCATTGTTTTATGTCAAATGACAGTGATGTTTGGCATGCGATGTATGCAAGAAACTATTCAGCAAATTCTTCAATACCTTTCTAAACTGAATGAATCCTAGAGGTTTTCAATTTCACAATAGTCATCTCACGCAGCCCTAATCCTCTAATTTTACAGGCTTTGGCACGAAATACAAGTAATTGGCACCCAAAAGAAACCCTAAGCGAAGCCTGAGATAGATCGATGAAGAAGGGAAAGTACCTTCTGCCGCTTCCACGATAGGAACTGAGTCTCTGTGATCGGAATCGTCCTTGGATTCCGCGATGCGAGCTTCTCTTGTTCCATGGCTGCTTCTTCTGCCACCATTTTGCAGCCTCCTAATGTATTGCTGCTTCAATCTGTTCTATTCGCGGGGAATCGGAGAGACCTACAAAATCCATATATTCGTATGCTTTTTAGTTCTAATCTATTATAAATTTTATCGTAGAGAGTATTTTTTTATTATAAATATATGATCATTCTTTAAATTAACCGATATGAGACTTTTTAAGAAGTTCAGAAATTTAAATCATTATACTTTGGATAATAAGAAGTAAGCATACAAGGCCAAGGTGGTAAAATGAAGGATGCCAACAACATATCTGGAGAGAAGTGCTCGTGAGTGATGAACATCCTCATGACTGTGAGGTGGCACGACAAGAAGGACAAGTACGTACATAAGGGTCTCAAGCGTGTGCCCTTTAGGGCGTGTGCACAAAAAGACACTATGAATGAAATCTTTAGTATGTGTGTTTTCTTCTATGTTCAATGCTACCTTCACGATTTCAATTCTCTCCTCAACCTAGGCAATTATTCGACAGCCAAACCGTTCTAGCAGGGAAAGCTATAGGCAAGTGAACAGATTGACAGAGAGTACCTCCACAATTGAAAGTAAGTTGCGAAGGTAAATCGGACGTACTACTCCCCAACCTTCTATAAACTTTGATTTTAGAGGTGGTGCCCCAAATCCCTACAAGTTGAGACCTTCATTTCATATTATATGTCTAACTTATTCAATTTTCTTGCTATTTACTTCAAGGATAAATATTTATTTGAATTTTGTTTTGGAATGTGTCATATTTTTCTAATTTGAAATTTTAATATAAATATAAATTTAAAAATTAAATTATTATACATACTAAAGTTTATTGATTAACTTATTACAATTTTAAAAATATAAAAATTAAATTTTACAAAATTTAAAAGACTAAATTGTTATTTTGTATCAAAATAAAATTATTTTCGAACGTTGTAACTTACTATAACATATTGAATGACAATAATCGAAATCTATGTTTAAAAAAAACAATGTAACACAATTTTTGAATCAAACCTTAAATATTCATTTGCAATTATAAATAACCGTCCGATTAGATATAATTTTGTCTTTCTTTTCGGCCCTCCCATTTGAAATTATTGCACATATTAGTTTTTTTTTTTTTTTTTTTTTTTCCAGATTTTCTCAAGTCTAATCTAATATATTGCTTGGACTTTTATTATCATCATCATTATTATTATTATTAGGAAATTGGTAATTATTGGTATGTTCAATGTCCAAAAGTGGGTTCAAACTCAATTAAAAAAAGCACTACTTGACTTCAGACTTTAGAGGTTCGTTAATGATTGCCCAAACCAATTTGCTTTTGAAATTTATGTACCCAAAAAAAAAAAAAAATGTATTATTTAATATATATATATAATATAGGGGATGTTCAAAAGTTCAAATATAATTACACGAAAATAATTTAAAGATGTATCAGCCTTCTATTAATAAAATTAATAAAATTATAATTTCAAAATTTTATATTTAATAAATCTCTAAATTTTAAATTTTAAAAACACACTATTTTATTTTATGTCTAATAAATATTTAAATTTTAATTTAGTACTTCACAGAAGTAAACATCTTCATTTAATTATCCTATAAAAAAGAAATTCAATTTTAGGTAAAAATTTAGATGATTAATTAAATTAAAAATATTGAAGATATTAATAATCTATTAAACATATAATATTCATTACAAATTTACGAACTAAATTTATAATCTAATAAAAAAATATTTTTATTTAACTAAATTTGCTAAAATGCATTACTCACTACCAAAATTATATTAAAAAGTTACCCTTTTAATTTCTACCTTTTAAAAAATAAGTTTTTTTTAAGTTTTGATAAATTTTTAAAAGATCATTAAATTTTGAGAAATAATAAATAGGTTTAAAAGGTAGTTGGCACTATTTTTTTCCCCTTGCTAGTACGAAATAATTTTTATTGTTGATTTTTTTTTAATGCTAAATGTATTTGATACAAAAATAATAATAATAAATAAAATAATTTCTCTCTCCCTCTCATCTCTCTCCTCCCTCCCTGTCTCCGCATTCTCTCTGATGACTTCAGCAATGACGATTAGAGATCCGCCGGTGTCGGACTCGCTCACAGTCGATTCCTTATCGAAGATCAACTCAACTGCTCGACGTTGATTCAGCCATGGAGGAGAAAGACGGAGGAGAGGAGTAATTTTCATTTGTATTTTTTAAGTTTTTTAAATGACTCGAGTACACTAGCAAACGAACAAACGAAAAAAGGAACGCTGAAACCTTTTACACTTCAAAATCTCAAGCCAATGTGAATGAAAACGTCAACAAATATACTCGGATCCTCCACGATGACGCTGACATCTGGTGATCTACAACCATCTGACGGTTCATATTCATCATTTCGAGCCACTCAATCGGAATCTGGCCGCTTAAACGTCCAAGTTCATCGTCGGCGGACACACGACTGGTTCAGTTTTCCAATAACGCATTCGGAGAGGTTTGACTTTTGGGAAAAGATGAACTCCGATTTGACTCAATTTGTTTGGATTCACTGCGACTGTTTTAGCAGCAGCCCTAATTTCGTAACATTAGTTTCGATTTGGAGCGACGAATGGGGAGTATCACAGAGAAATAAGGGCGCGTTTTCGTGGCGGCCGAACAGAGCGGTAAGATCTGGACACATGGAAACTCCCTCTCTGATTTGATGATTACAGGAGAATAGCGGGATTTTCAAATTGTGATTATGCGGATTTGTTGTTTCATTGAATCTGGACGGAGTTTCAGCTATTGGGTGAGGTTGGGACTGGCTGTGAAGTTGTTTAGGAAAAGAAACCCTAGAAGGCGTCGAGTGTGGGGAACAAAAAGGTGGGAAACAGATTATGGACTTCAACGCTGATGGATTGGTATGTTTCCTTTTCATTTACATCTCTTCCTCTTCCCTTTTTCCATTTCTTTTCAATAGAATAATGGTGAACTTAGTGTTACTTTTTCCTTTCATCAACTTTTTTCCTTATGGTTTTCGTGACTGAGAAAAAGTGCCCAAGTGTGAATTGAAGGGAACAAGTTGACTTCTCAAAAGCCTTTATTATTTGTTTTCTCTCAATATTGATGAACTATTTTGAACTCCACTATGGATGGTTTGCACTAGAAGGGAAATAAGACCCGGTAGGCTCTTTTTACCCTTGATTATTCAGCTTCAAACCCAGCAATGCTGGCCATGTTTTTGAGTTTTGACTTACAATTTGCTCTCTCTTTGTTCTTTTTTGAACTTGTTGAGCTTTTGATGGTGCATTTTAGTGCATATGGGACAACCCCATCAGGTCCTACCATTTTAGGATGGACTCAGTTTCTTGGGAAGGAGGATTTTAGGCATATTCTCCTAAGGGAAATGTTCTATTACTACAATAATACATACTATTTCTATTCAAAATTTGGCATACTGCTGGGCATTGGCATGTAAGGTTCCATAAGTTATTCCCCATTGCTTGTATTTTAGTCATTTGTCCTCATCGAAGGGCTTACTTTCGACCATTGCGTTGAATTGGAACATTTGGTCCCATTGTTTGACTTTTGCTTGCTACTTCAATTCTACATTAAACCCCCCTCAAAATAATTGCTAGACAAATGCAAACTAAGACAGCTTGTGAAGAAAAGTCCGCATGGGCCTAACTGGTTTAGAGGATTCTTATGGATCTCTTTCACAAAGGTCTACTCGTTTGTGATTGGCTCACTGGGTGAAATTTCAACATTTCTTTATTGACTTGAAATCTTGTAACAGAAACTCTCACATATGCAAGCACTGCTGATATTTGTATACACCAATTGAATGGGTTTGTGAATCTCTTTTGCTGGTTTAAACTAAAGTTTAAACTGAAGTCCCGACGTACTTCTTGACGTTTAAATTCACCACATATAAATTGAAATTGCTTTTGATCATCCTTCTGTTTCAGCTTGAAAAGTTTGACTTGGAATCTCCCGAGATGTTATATTATAAAGAAGTTGGCCTATAAAACTCAGTTGAGAGTCTCCACCATTGCTTGTACGATTTGCTGTCCAAATCTTTTGTAAGCTTGGATTCAGTTTTCTCAGGTCTGAGCTTTGTCGTAGAGTTCTATTTTCTTAAGTGCACTGTTTCTCGAAACCGATTGAATGTTTTGTAGACTTAGTTTTTCCAGCTCCAGAACATTGAAGTTGACTGCGTGCTGCATCTGGTCTTCAGCTACCTTTATTAACTCTTCCATTGTTTTTTCTTATGTGTTTTCGTCGCCATAGGTGAACTAGTTATCCATGGACTCAAGGGGCCATTCCAATGGTGGAGAACCTGAAACAAAAGAGATGGACATTAGAAATCTTTCATCTTCGCGCAACAATACTCAGTATATTCACAAGGTGGGGGTTCCACCGAAGCAAGGTTTCTTCAACGAATTTAAAGCAAGAGTGAAAGAGACTTTCTTTGCAGATGAGCCTCTGCGAACCTTCAAGGATCAATCGAAGTCCCGAAAGTTGGTCCTGGGAATTCAGGCTATCTTCCCGATATTTGAATGGGGGAGGAATTACAATCTGACAAAATTTAGAGGAGATATAATTGCTGGACTCACTATTGCAAGTCTCTGTATTCCACAGGTAAACTAGCTCTGCTTTAATATGCATGCAAATGTAAGAAAAGAGGGGGAAAAAAAAACAGTGTCTGATCATGTCAAATTTTTATATTACAGGATATAGGGTATGCAAAACTTGCTAATTTGGCTCCCCAGTATGGTTTATGTAAGCACTGATTATGCATCTTGCACCAAGTCTCTTCCGGATTTTGAGTGCTCTACTTTGATTTTCCCAGCCTCATCCAACTTTTCAAATTGTTGCAGACTCCAGTTTTGTACCACCACTGGTTTATGCTTTGATGGGTAGCTCTAGAGACATAGCGATTGGACCAGTGGCTGTTGTTTCTCTCTTGCTGGGAACAATGCTTCAAAAGGAGATTGATTACCATACACATCCAGAAGCGTATCTGCGGCTTGCATTTACAGCTACGTTTTTTGCTGGGATCACCCAAGCCACTCTAGGGATGCTAAGGTAGTTGAGTGCCTTTTCTTTCTCCCCAATATTATCTGATTTCCTCAACTGGCATTCTGCCTATTTTGGGATCATCTGTATGTTTTGTTTTAGACTCTTCTATAAACCCTTGATAATAATATGTATCCTTGACTTTTGCCAACAGGTTGGGTTTTCTGATTGACTTTCTATCTCATGCTGCCATTGTTGGTTTTATGGGTGGAGCTGCCATCACTATTGCCCTTCAACAACTTAAAGGCTTTCTTGGTATTAAAAATTTTACAAAGAAAACAGACATCATCTCTGTTATGCGCTCAGTATTTGAGGCAGCGCATCATGGAGTAAGCCTTCTTACAACCTCAAACCTCACCTGTCTATGGTGTTTATTTGCACATAAATGAGTCACTGATGCAAACTAATCTCATGTATTTTAACTTCTTTCATGACCATTTGCAGTGGAACTGGCAGACGATAGTCATTGGAGTAGCTTTTCTAAGTTTTCTTCTATTAGCCAAGTATATTGTACGAATCTCACTTGGCATTGTTACTTGGTGCAAATTTTGACGTAAGCTCTTTTCCTGTTTCTATTCTTGGCTTTTGAAGAACTTCCATGTTTGCAATCTCAGGGAAAGAAGAACAAGAGCCTTTTTTGGGTGCCTGCAATTGCTCCATTAATATCAGTCATTCTGTCCACCTTTTTTGTTTACATTACCCATGCAGACCAGAAAGGTGTCGCAATTGTAAGGATATCTTTTATCACTCTTTTTCCTGGTTGAAATATGATTATCACTAAGAAAAGAAGAAGAATAATAACAATAGCATCAGCTCTGATAGTTGCAGTTTTGTTGAACTTTTGAAGGTGAAACACATAGAGAAAGGAATCAATCCTTCATCAGTGAAGCAGATCTACTTCACTGGTGAGTACCTCCTTAAAGGGTTCAGGATTGGCGCTGTGGCCGGTATGATAGCATTAACGGTAAGCAAATCGTGAAACTATCTTCTTCACAGTAGATGTGAATGATTTTAATATTTGTTTAACTAACCAAAGAATGTTTCCATATTATTTGAAAATCCACATTCTTTTCAGGAAGCCATAGCAATTGGAAGAACATTTGCTTCCATGAAGGATTACCAGCTTGATGGTAACAAAGAAATGGTGGCACTAGGAACAATGAATGTTATTGGTTCACTGACTTCCTGCTATGTGGCAACAGGTGAGAAGCAACTACGAATCAGGAAGATGCCAGAGCTAATTTGATCTAACTGATATTATTTACTGAATATAATACCACCGTGTAAGAAAATGTTTCTTAGCGTCATCCAGGAATGCTCATATGAATGGTGTTTCAAATAACACACTTTGCCAACAAAAACACTAATTAAATGCTTTCTTCAAAAGACCTTGAAGTGCTTTTGAGATATAATTTTCAAACAGCAGTGTTGTTCTCTAGCATTCAGAAATCAGAGGTTTGGATGGCAAGTTCGTCTGGATGTCAGCATTAACCAGTAGAATTTACATAATTCTTAGCAAAATTAGTGTAGTCTGAACTAGTAACTAAGCAGGTAATAGGATGGTTTCCTTCGTGGTACCCATCTAAATAAGGCTTAAAGTAGGAGCATTAAATGGTAAATGTTAACTAATAAGGTTTGTTTCCTTCTTGCAGGCTCGTTCTCTCGCTCAGCTGTGAATTACATGTCTGGCTGCCAAACTGCAGTCTCAAACATTGTTATGTCCTGTGTTGTATTTCTAACTCTAGAGTTCATCACTCCCCTTTTCAAGTACACTCCGAATGCTATTCTAGCTGCCATCATTATCACTGCTGTGATCAACTTAATTGACATTCAGGCAGCAATTTTGCTTTGGAAGATTGATAAATTTGATTTTGTTGCTTGTTTGGGAGCCTTCTTTGGTGTGATATTTGCAAATGTTGAGACAGGCCTCCTAATTGCTGTAAGAATCACGCCTGCTACTTTAAGTTCTCTCATTACTAGCTTAGTCAGTTTTCTCATTGCCAGCTTAATCTCATAAAGATGTTGAATCTTAACTTTCATGTGCTATGGCAGGTCTCTATATCATTTGCTAAGATACTCTTACAAGTAACCAGGCCACGGGTTGCCATTCTTGGAAAGATCCCTAGGACCACAGTATACAGGAACACCCAACAGTATCCAGAAGCAACAAGGGTTCCGGGCATTCTCATTGTGAGAGTCGACTCTGCAATTTACTTTTCTAACTCCAATTACATCAAAGAGAGGTAAAGATGATCCTTATCTTTAAGAATGGTCTATTTCTGTTTTCATCCATATCTAGGCAATCAGTGTTAATTTCCCAACTTTGCCCCTTAGGTTTCTTTATCTTTAGGCATTGGAGAATCAGTTTAAGATATTTCCCTTGTGTATTTCAAGTTTTCCGTAGTTTGTTTCTCCTAGGGACTGCCTACTTTGGAAGTCCGAAGAATTTTATTTTCCAACTAAATATGATTGAATCAAATTGCTACCTCGGGTTCTAACTTAGTAATTATTAGCTACACATTTGGTTTGATATATGTCTACAGGAGCTCTTGCCTTTTCAATTTCGTTACTCTTACCCTTACAATACTTGAGAATTTCTCGCAGGGTATTGAGATGGTTGGCAGATGAGGAAGAGCAAATAAAGAAGGCTTATTCAACAAAAACTCAGTTTTTGATTGTTGAGATGTCTCGTAAGTACTCAACCTTAACAAATATTTTTGAATAATTCTGCACAGTAGTCAAACCTAAGATCAGATCACACTCTTCCGTGTTCCAAACTCAAAATTCTGGTTTTTTTAATTTGTTGTAGCTGTTACTGACATTGACACTAGCGGAATTCATGCCCTGGAAGAGCTATACAGGAATCTCCAGAAAAGAGACATTCAGGTAATTCACGCAAGTATAAAAAGCAACTACTTACGAATGTTATGGACAGTAGAGGTATATATATGTGCTGTAAAGTTTTGGAAATGTGCCTAACCAGAAGTCTGTGTGGTGTTGTTGAACAGCTAGTTTTGGCAAACCCCGGGCCTGTAGTGATTGACAAACTCCATGCATCCGATCTTGCTAATCTGATTGGCGAGGACCATATCTTTCTAACAGTTGCTGAAGCTGTTTCGTCCTGCTCCCCAAAATTGGTGGAAGGGGTCTAGTCTTAAGATTTGAATGCTAGTTCGTCCAGTTAAGTAGTCATGAAATGGAAGAAGAATGGAGTGAATACCCGCTCAGCTACAAAGCAGCAGTTTTTTTTTTTTTTTTTTTTTTTTTTTTTTTTTTTTTTTTTTTTT